TGGTCTTAATGAGTTGCTGTGGCTGAAAGAAAAAAAAACTCTCTCACCTAATGGCCAATATCCTGGTAATGAGTCTCTCTGAACTTAGAATTATTTATCTTGGACAACAGAAAAGAATGCTGGCCTTGGAGTTACAAGGCTAAAGTTCAAAACAGCTCTTCACCTTTCTAAATGTCTAACCTTGGACAAGTCACTTAGTCATTCTTCGGTTCAGTTTTGTCTTCGGCAAAATGAGGCATTTGGACAAGATGACCCCTAAAATCCTTTGTAGCTTAGACACCATTCCAGTTCTATGATCCTATGATCTCTCCAGATGAATTTGGCAGGACCTTCCAGAAACTGCCCAATGCTGCCCCAATCTGTGTAAACCTCTGTGGTCACTCCATGCCATGAATTGGCATCAGGGAAGGATTTTAGTGGACCTTCATGCATCCATAGCCTACCCTTCTTAGGTGGGTACATGTCTTGTCATTCCTACTAAAATATAAACTCTTTAAAAGCAGAATAGTAACTTTGCCTCTCTCGTCCACTATTTCTTTATCTTTAAATGAAGCAGCTGTATTAAATGATTTCTGATATCTCTTTCAGCTCTCAATCTTTGGATCTTAAGACCCTATCATCTTTACCTTTTTAGCTCTTCCAATACCTACCATCATGTCATGTGTATAGTAAGTGTTTAATAAATGTTTGTCAAATTAATGAACTAATGAAGCATCTAATGGATAAAAAACCAAATAAATGATAAATACTAGAAATTCTCTCAACCCATTATTAGTGTGGTAACTATAGAAACAATCTTTAAGAGAATAAAACCTCACTTCAGGGTTATTCAATTCTGTTCTTTTAATTTTAATTTTAAGGAGACAGAGTTCTATGATCTCATGGTGGTACTAAGAGTGGAAAAAGAGGTTGATTACTAATTCAATTATCATCTTTTATTAAAAAGTCTTACAACAAGTATAGATGTAGACATACAGCATGTCCTAAAAGTCAGTATGGTTTTAAGCTTCCCAGAAAGTCAGTCCAGTATATTGGGAAAAGCTTTGTGGAGGTATCATAGAATGGGGAGAGACTTGAGGGTTAGAGACCAGTTAGTAGGCTATCACAATAGTCCATGTAAAAGTCAACATAGGCCTGGACTAAGGTAGCCTTGAGAATAGGAAAGAGGACAGACACAAGAGATACTACAGAAGTAGAATCAATAAGACTATGTAACTGATTGGTTACATGGGGTACAGGAGATGCTGGGAACATGCTGCTGGTGATATGGAAGGAATGATTAGCATCCTTAATATTTTAGTAATGCTAATTTTAAAAATTTCTCTGCCCCACGTTTTTGAAAGGAATAAAAATTCATCTTTTTTTGAACATGATTAAGGAAGGCTTCTAGGCAGGCTATATTTGTCCTCTATATTTCTCTAGCACCAAACTGGTATTTCCATTATAGCTACCCAGTTTCATAGGTGTTCAATGATGATGTATACCTCTCATTTAAACTATATTTAAACATCAAATATCTTAGTGCTGGGATCCCAATTAATTACTGAGGGCATCTGCTCAGACAAAAATATGCTGATAGGAACATGACTCATTGAGAGTCAATTTGTCTTTACCTTTATCACCCTTTCTCCTTCTAAGTAAGACTCTATGTGGAGGAACTACTCAGGTTTGGAGCCAGATAATTCAGTATCATATAAAATTATCTGAATCCCAAGGAGGCCTTTCCTGAGAACAATAATAGGCAGGCATTTCTCATGAATAAGTTTGGGACAAAACTGGGGGTGAGTCATGTTGAGAATGAGGCTGATGCAGTAAAATGTATATGAACACATACAATTTAAACTATGTAAACTCTTGTGGCCATCTCTCTTTTCAGATTTGATGACTGTTTTAAAAATTTTCATAAAATGAAACATGTAGGTGGTGTAACATACAGAGCACTGGACTTGGGAGTCAGTAAGATCTAAGATTGAATCCTGCCCCAGATACTCACTAGCTGTTTAACCTGAATAAATTACTTAACGTCTTTCAGACTCAGTTTCCTCATCTCTAAAATGGAGATACTAATACCATCTACCTCACAGGGTTGAGATGATAAAATGATTTAACATACATAAAGTACTTTACAAACCTTAAAACACTGTATTTATGCTAGTTATTATTACTATTAAATGGTAATGATAATAGATTCAGTTACTCTGACATACATTTACATTTTGGCCTATCTAGGGCAAGGAAAAACTGGTAACAAAAGTCCATTTATTTTAAAACAGGGCCTTTCCAAAATGATCAAATTTATAACAACATTTGTCCAGCAAAGTTTGGCTACTAGGATTTTAATGGTGCCTTGAAAATGATAATTTACTAAAAGTCCCCTACAAATATGAAAGCGTTAGAGCATGCTCTCTCTCTCCCCACCACCATGTGCTCTGCAGGGAACAGCGTGGAGATGTCATGATTAGTGGGACTTCAAACAAAGACTCGAATCACATCTTGCTCTGATTTCTCCTCTCTAAAGGAACTTTCCTTCCCTCAGAGGTTTCTGTTCAAGCCACTATGAAATATGAAACAGTAAGAATCTTATTGTTGGAATCCAGAAGACTTGTTTTCCTTTTCCTCTTGCCTCACTTTCGTTTGCTTCATTGACAGTATTAACACCTTTAATACACAAACATAGGATTATAGCTCTAGAATCTGAAGGAATCTCAGAGGCCATGTGGTTCATCTCCTCATTTTATAGTAGAGGAATATGAGGTTGAGGTCAGTGTCCAAAGTTACACAAGTAGTAAAAGTCAGAGGCAAGATTTGAACCCAAGTTCTCTGATTCTTTCCTCATTTATAAAGCAGTCAGGTTGGACTAGCTACCTAGGTGGCACAGTGGATGCAGGGCTAGAACTGGAGTCAGGATGATCCATTTCAAAATTAGTCTAAAGCATTTACTAGTCGAATGACCTTGGGCAAATCACTTAATCTCTGTCTGCCTCAGTTTCCTCATCCGCAAAATGGGGATAATAGCAGCATTTACCCCCCCAAGAGTTATTGTGAGGATAAAATTAAGTAATGCTTAAAAAGAGCTTTGCAAATGTTAAAGTGTTAGCTGTTGTCATTGCCTAAATCAACTTCTAGTTCTAGCTATATGATCTTTATTTTTCCTATGATTCCAGAATCAGTGTTCTTTCAACAATGCCACATTAATTCAATCCAAAAAGCATTTATTTAATAGTACCTAGTATGTGTATGACAGTATACTAAGTGTTAGCTGTTACAATCTTGGCATGTCTCTTTGAAATTATGGATACTTGTACACCCACACACACACACACACACACACACACATACAGACACACGCACAAAACAGAAAAAAAAATCAGCAATTCTATGGCCATTGCTAATGAAGAAATATTATATTAAAATACATCAAACCTAGATAACATCAATACTCACCTGTGTTTGTGTGTATAAATGTCTCTGTGGTAAGTTTTAGTTCCCTTATCTGTAGTACAGGGGAAAAAGAACCCTATAGGTACATCATAAGGGAATTGCTGGGAGGAAAGTATGTAAACATATATAAACATGTCAGATAAGTTATTATTATTGTTATCATTATTAATGGCCATAACAGGACAATAACTTCCCCCAAGCCCTTTAGGCTCCTCTTTACATTTGCAGGATAATCCTCTCTTAGCCTAATGCAGGAAGTGAAATTTCCAGAGAGCTCCTATTTGGTGAAAAATACTGATTGGTCTGGACCCCCAGCTAGGGAACACCATCATGTGCAAATCATAGTATTTGGAACAAAAAGGGTCATTAGAGGTCATCTAATTTAACTCTCTGGTTTTACATATATAGAGAAGCAATCCAGCAGAGATGAAGCGACCGGTCCAGGACTACATGAGCTGAATGTAGAAGAGCAGATTCTCTGACTACAAGTGCAAGAGTTCTGTCTACCAGATCATGTTTGTCTTTTCTACTTTGAAGTTCAAATGCAGCTCTTTTATTGACAGGCAGTAACAGCTAATAAATAGAAACTCTTCCAACTTGAACAACTCTTTTTAGTTGATCCTAACAGGAAACTTGACCCTGATTTATGGATTTGCTAACTCTTTCCTATTTCAGGAAGTAGCTCCAGGCTCCTTTAGTGTAAGAGACATGCTAATTTGCATATATCACTAACCCACTGCCAAACTCTCAAGGATTGTTAGCACCACCTGTTCTCACAGGAAGTGACACCATCAGTCCCATCAGCTTTAACTGTGTGGGCTACTCCTGTTAGAGCTCACAAACATTGCCTACGTCAGTATTCACACAGTTACGCAGCCAGCACCCCCTTAACTTGGGTCCTAGATGACAAAAATCTAAGATGCTCTCTCTATGGATTCATTAAGGCACTGAAATAACACCTTTGGTGAGGCATTGAATTTGTCACTTTTCTACCTTCTTTCTTGTTACAAGGAAACCTAAGGTGAACTAGGAACACCTTAATCAACATTCTCCCCAAGATGTTACATAGGGTATAAAAGTGAATTTAATCATGTTAGCATGAGCTGTTGTCCCTTATACTTTATCTCAAGAAGCAGTGGAATAATTCAGGTCACAACAGCACAAGGCTTAAACATTTGCTTAGACTCAAGACAGCCATCTCTCCTTTGGGAATATCATAAGACAATAGGATACATAAAGTTAGACATCCAAATTATAAATGTCACCATCGTGCATTTATAAGAAGGGTGTTAAGATATTAATGCAAAACTCTTCCAGAGTCTACCAGGGCATTCCAGAGAAGCAGGAATAAGATGAAACCTCTCTTCCCATGGTGGAGAGAGGGGGGAGATAAGGGCAAGAGCAGAGAGTCAGTAAGAGAGATATGAATCTCCTTCAGCAACCCTTTCTGCCTTTGCTTGTACCATAGCTCTCTTTTGTTGGAAACAGTAGAGCTCTACTCTCAAACTTTCCCCTATCTTTCTGCTTCCCTCTTCCCCAGATCCACCCCCTTCCCTTACCTGGGGTGTATGTCCACAAGCAATACCAGGGTCTGCATGGTGATCACATCAATGCGCTTACAGTGGAATCGGGCCACCTTGAGCACCTTGAGATACGTGAAACACAGCACGACAAAGGAGAGAAGGAAGCTGAGGGCGTGGAAAACCCCCGTGAAAACACTGAAAGGAACCCGCTCCTCGTGCCTCTTACTGTACAGGGTGCAGGAGGCATAGAGGTGATGGAAGCCCAGCCAGGACAGGGAGAGAGCGGCAGTGGGGAAGGAAATGGAGTGCAGCCACGTGTAGCCCACTATGAGAGCAGCGTCCTTGTAGCGCATCTTGGAGTGGTAGCTCAGAGGGAAGACCACGGCGACCCAACGGTCTATGCTGAGGGCGGCCATGCTCAGCATGGAGTTAGTGGTCAGGAAGGTTTCTAGGAAGCCCACGATGTGACAGAGTCTGTCTCCTCCTGGCTGCTGTTTATTAAGCATCCCGGCCAAGGTCAAGGGCATATTGACCACGGTCATCAACAAGTTGCAGCAGGTCAAGTTAAGGATGAAGAGCCCTGGCACTTGCTTGCGGATGTCAGGGCTGTAGAGGAAACAGATCAGCACCACCACGTTGGACAGCAGCGAGATAGCAATCATTCCGACCAGCAGGCAAGCCAAGCTCACGTCCCAAGAGTTCATGGTGTGGCCCTTCAGAGGAGGGACCTGTGGGCAAAAGGCACACCTTCCGGATGTTCGAGGAGCATAGTGCGAGGAGAGCTCATCTCCTCACCCCCAGCAGCACTTCTTCTGCCTGGCTTTTCTTTCCTCTTCCAGTAGTCGCTGCCTTGGCCCGTACCATCTTCCCCTGTCCCTTTCGTCTCCTTCTCGGACAGCAATTTTGGACACTGCCCCTGCTCTTCTCTCCACTTCAAATACTGTTCACAGAAGCTGCCCAGGAGCTTTGGGGTCAGTTAGCCTTCCACTATGCAAGAAGAGCCAGGAACAGGGCAGTCCTGCCTGTGAGCAAGACTGTATAGTGCAGCCCTGGACCGGGTGGGTCCAGAGAATGCAGGTATTCTGGGAAGGAGCTCTCCTGAGATCCCTTATCAGCCGGCGCGCAGGTCTCATTCTTCTTCCACTCTCCCCCCCGCTTTTCTTCCCTCCCCTCATCCCATTCTCTCTGTCTGTCTGTCTGTCTGTCTGTCTCTCTCTCTCTCTCTCTCTCTCTCTCTCTCTCTCTCTCTCTCTTTCTCCCCCTCCCTCCCTCTCTATGCTTTTTTTTTTTTCTTATCTGGCTTCTTAAGACAACTGATCAGGCAGGCAACACCCCCCCCCCAAACACACAGACATTAGCAGCTAAGTGCAGAGTGATTGGCTGCCTTCTCCCTCCCCTCTCCTCTCCCCGCCCCCCAGCCTCCACCTAGTACCAAAGAAAACTCTCAGTAAGGAGGGTGTCCTCAAAAGCAATAGAAAGGGCTGAATGAAATGATTTAGCAATCTCATGCACCCTCTAGGGTGGGCTGTCTCAGTCTCAGTTCCCACTCACCCCAGCCCATCAGACTTTCCCCACAGCTGTTGCACACTTGCTGACAATTTCTGCCAAGGCTCTTCCTTCTCTTGCTGAGCCGAGCTGGGGAGAGCAAAACCTCAGGTCCCTTAATGGATGAGTTGCTTCGAGAGGGTAGGATTCCAGAGACTCCTTATCCTCACCGGCCAGAAAAAAAAAATCTGGCCATTCATCTTCTAGGGAGCAATACTCGGGCTACCCACTACTCAGATGAACTCAAATAATGCTGCTTTTTGGAAACTTAGATCAAAAGGAGTAGAGTGTTGGGCATATATGTGTGTTGGAGGTGGGGCTATGTAATTCTGCATGCGTAAAATGCTTTTCATCTGAAATCTTAATGATTGCCTGGGCTGTAAAACATATCTCCTGGGACGGCAATTGTGAAATGCTCCACCTCCACCCCTCATTCCCCCCACTCCCACCACAACACACAGCAGCTAGGGTTAATGAGCAAGTTGATCTGACTATTTTCTCTTCAGCATCAAACACACAGATTTCTTGTTCATGTGGTTATGGAGCTCATTTCTATCTATTGTGTGAAAGCTCTGTGGATTATATAATGTGCCCTATGCTCTTCAATATTCATCTCTCCACAGAAAGAAAAGGAAATGAGTGTGCAGCATCACAGGGCTGAAGATCAACATAGGTGCCCCTAGTGACGATTGTAGCAGAAACAAATGGCATCAGTGATCTTAGCCTTCTAACCATAGATAAGCAACAATGGGGATGACCACTCACTTTGAGATGTTCTCAAAAGAGACAGCTTTAGGGAAAGATTGATTCAGTTACTAGAACTCCTATAGGAGAATGAACTTCTTCCTTTATGTCTGGAAAAAGAAAGCTTCTACACATGAAGAACATGGCCCTTGTTGGCTTCATGTAACCTAAAAGCCTTTGTTGACTTGAAAAACTGGGCTTATCATACTGGATCACACACATCACTGGCCTCAACTAGTGTCTGAAGCATCATCATAGAGCTGGAAGGGACCTTAGGGGGTCATTTTGGCCAATCCCTTCATTTTACCTGAGGAAGCTATGAGGAAAACTGCAGAACCAGGTGGGATTCAAACCCAGGCTCTCTGACTCCAAATCCTATTCTCTTTCTCCTATATCATGGCCTTGGTCTTTAATGAAATTGAATTATAAAGGGTAAACTCTCTTGGATTTTTATGACCAAAATCCAGTCAGTATAGAATCACAGTTTTCTTGCTTCTGCTATGTCCCACCTAATAATTTCCCTCTAAAAAAAAGTGGATATTTTTCATGTGGTTATGTCTATATACGACACATATGGAGCTCTCATGGTCAGGAGGTTAGCTCTTCATTCCTTCCAGGTCTCCTGAGACCCGGTAATGTGCATCATTTCTTTCTTCTCTGCATATCTGGAGCACTCTTAACTGTAACACACACTTAGCACATGTAACTCTGTATTGTTAGTTATCTTTAGTAATGGTGATAATAAAGATAACAGTGGCTTCTATTTAGTACTTTAAAGTTTTCGCAGGGGCAGCAAGGTGGTACAGTGGATAGAGCTCTGGCCTTGGAGTCAGGAGAACCTGATTTCAAATCTGGCCTCAGACACTTGATACTTACTAGCTGGTGACCCTTGGCAAGTCACTTAACCCCAATTGCCTCACCCCAAAACAACAACAACAACAACAACAAAGGTTGCACAGTACTTGATCTCATTCGCCTCACCTTTGTGAGGTAGGGGCTACAGGTATTATTTCCATTTTAAAACTAAGGAAACTGAACTGAGATGTTCAGATTCATCACTCTCTCTCACCACCCATATCCAGTCAATTGTCAAGTACTGTTATTTCTCCCTCCACAACATCTCTTGCATTCTACCCCATCTCTCCTCCCACACAGTCACCACCCTAATTCAGGTCCTCGTCCCCTCTTACATGGAAAATTGTAATAGCTGCCAAATTGATATTTCTAAAGCACAATCCTAAACACTTCACTCCCCTGTTCAAGAAGTGTCCGTGGCTCCCCATCACCTTGGGGATAAATTGCAAACTACTACGTTTGACTATAGAGTCTTTGACAACCTAGCTCCAACCTGTTTTCTTAGACTAATTATTTCCTCTCAAGAACCCAAGTTCCAGTCAAATTGGAGTACTTGGTACTTCCTATATGTGGAATTTCCCTCTCCTACCCCCATGCCTTTGGACAGGTTTTCTCCCATGCCTGGAATGCTCTTCTTTTTTTCTCTGCCTTTTGGAATTTTGTTCCCTTCAATGGCTCAAGTACTGCCTCCTGGGAAAGTCCTTTCCTTCTCCCCCTAGTTGTTAGTGCTCCCTACTGAAATCACTTTGTAGCTATTTTGCACATATTTTGCATTTCTTTTCTTGTACATATGTTGTCCCCCTACATGAATAGAATAGCCAAGATTAGTTCATTTTTGTCTTTGTATATCCAGTATCTAGCATATAGCAAATGTTCAATAACTGCTTGTTAAAATGAATTAAGGAGACTTGCCTTTGATCGCACAGCTAGTGTCAGAGCCCAGAGCTCTGTCTTCAAGCCCAGAACCATCTGGGAAGAGCTGAGGCCAAAACATTCATTACCCTGCAGCCAACCTGGGGATGAGGTTCTCAAAACTGAATTAGCTAGGTTGGTTCTCAGATGAAATCATGGAGACCATATGTGTAAAAGCTTTTCCAGTTTGGTAGGACCTGCCAAAGCCTATGTCTCACCAGCACAGAATACTAGGTCCCCTCCATGACACAAAAATGATACATCACAGAAGGACCTTTTGAGGACCATCCAGGATTCAGAAAAGATGGCGGATGAATTCACCATTCCTGGATAAGATTTGGTGAAGCATATAGAAGCTTCTTCTTCATACCTTTGTCTTTGAGTAGGATTTCCTTAAACCTCCTGTAAACCATTTCAGAGGGAAATGAACTTCTCTTTTTCAAAGCCTACTCTGAGATCTGGTACCAGCATTTAACAACTCCTGCATAACAGGATTAGGTACATTGCAGCCATAAGCTCAGTATATATACAATGGAAATAGAAGTACAGCTCTGGTATTGCATTACCCTGCCCTCTATCCACCCCTCGCCCACAAATAATCTTTGGGGCTCTGGATGTGCTGTCTCTGTCGGTTGGGTGAACTAAATGCCATTTAGCTATAGTGAAGCTCTAGGCTCAGTGGATGGAAATACACAGCTGTTACTTTTCTTTTCCTGGAATCTTCAGATCAACGCTGAAGGCATTCCAAGAATCCCTGGGTACTCCGATTTTTAGGCATTTCTGGGTTCTAGGTTTAAACTTAGGGATCTATCTGACTGAGTTGTGTAAATACTCAATAAATGCTTGCTGATTGAATAATACCCCACTTCTTTCTCTGCCTCCTACTTTCAAACCAATGCTGATTTTAATCTAAACAGATACTGCTTATAGCCAAAGGAATTCAATTTAATACAATCAGAGATACAGAGCTACAAGGAAAATTAGAGGCCATCTAATGTAACATCCTAATTTTACAGTTGAAAAAACTGAAACTATGGGCCATTAATAATAATAATAATAACTAGCATTTATAAAGTATTTTAAGGTTTGCAAAACACTTATATTTTTTTTTCATTTCATTCTCGCAATAATACTGTGGGGTAGGTCCTATTAGTTCTCTTCATTTAAAGATGAGGAAACTGAGGCTGTTAAAGTTTAAATGACTTGGGCAGAGTCACACAGCTAGTAAATAGCTGAGGCAGGATTTGAACTCAGGTCATTCTGACTCCAAGTATAACAAACTTCTATTCCTCTGAATTCCACCAATAACATTCTTACTCTTGTAACCCTCATTATGGTTTGAACAGGGAACTCTGAGGGAGGAGAATTTACTTTGGAGAAAGAGAAGCATCAAAGCAGGGTGTAATTTGAGGTTTTGTTTGAGGTCCCATTACCTCAAATACCATTACTACATGGTGGTGATAGTGTGTGTGTGTGTGTGTGTGTGTGTGTGTATGTGTGTGTGTGTATGAGTGTGTGTTAGTATTTCAATATTTTCACATCCATAGGAGACTTTTAGCAAATTACCATTTCCACAGCACCGTTAGAATCCAAACTACCAAAACCTGGTTATAAATTTATCATTTTGGAAAAGCTCCTTTGAAGACAAGTGGATTTTTGATCTAATGTAATGATAATGGTAATAATGATAACTAGCATTTATATATTGCTTTAAGGTTTGCAAAGTGCTTGACATGTTACCAAATAAAACAAAAGGTGCTATTGTTATCTTCATTATAGAGATAAGAAGAATGAGGACGAAAGAAGTTAACTGACTTGCCCAGAATCATGCAGCTATTAAGCTTCTGAGACAGGATTCAGTCTCAGGTCTTCCTGACTCTAAGCCCAATACTCTTTCCAGCACTTCGTGTAGTTTTTCTTGGTGCGGTTCATCCTTTATTCTCAAACATGACCAATGACATCTGCACAGCACTCAGTGACTTGTCCACAGTCCCACAGGCAGTGAACGCCAAAGACAAGATTTGAACTCAGGTCCTCTAACTCCATAGCCATTGTTCTTTCCAGTGTACCATTTATCTATATATTACCTTTTCACAAGACTGTTTGTGGTAGATAAAAATCTTCAT